GAAGCCAGCTTGACTGGTACTAATTCCTGGTAATGGGCAACATAAACCCTCATTAAAGACAGCAATCAAAAGTGTCACTGAACCAGTGAATTATCTAATGGCTCTAAGTAGTACAGGTCATCTACTATAAAGAAGGTTTAATTATTTTTGGCACCCAAAAAATCATGAACCAAATTGTGTATGTGTTGTATATGTCTTTCTGTTATCCATTTGTTCTGTGCATCAATTCCTTATTTCTTTTGCTCGACTCTCTTAAATCATTATATAAATATGATACAAATGCACAGCAAATCAGAGGAAATATAGTATTGTACTTCAATGCTGTAAGAAAAATGAACATATATATGTTATATTAAGGTTCAGTGAGGGCAAAAGGTAAACATGCCCTTCTAAACCCAAATATAGATAACCAATTATTATTTGAGGGGAGGTTACTAGATTTCCTTTCCTTTAAAGGAACAGACTCAATTGTTATCTTTGTTCCTCAACAGTAAATTTGTGTCTATTTCTGTAAAACTGCACAGAAATACTAGCCCTACCGTGGTATGTGTGGGCAGCACCATTACTCAAGGGTTGTGATCCATTGGCTACTGGGAGCCTCATGAATGCAGTCCATGTGGAAGAGGTCAATGGCTTCCCATCACCATGGCTGCTCCAGAGGTTCCTGTGGAAAAGATAGAGTAGTCCCAGACTGTGATAAATTTCTAGTGGAATTTCTGCAGGGTGGTTAGGGCAACAATCCACCACTCTACCTAGTCTCTGCCTCTCCCCCACTGTAGAACTGAACCTGCATAGGTGTGTCTGTGGGGTCCAGAGGAAAGAGTGAAGCTATCACAGCAGTGGCTGATCTCCAACCTCTTTCCATGTAGGACAGGAAGGAAATTCATGTGGAGGGTCCTGTTTGTGTACAGATGTGAGGGAGATTATTTGGGAACTTGTTTTTTTCAGGCACCATGGTTATTCCCAGAGATTTAAAAGGTATTTGTTGCCTTTGGTAAGGCCCACCTAGCCGAACAACCACAGCACAAAGCTCCATGTCTTTATAGCAGGAGAGGAAGTCTTCTGTCAACACCAGCGGTACCCTGGTAATGGAGAAACATAGCAAAGCATAAACAAAGACCAGTGCTGGGCAGCCGGTTATTGAACCAGGAAGCTTTATTTACATAGTAAAAGTAACAAGCAAATTCCTGAGACTGAGTTGCTCTAGTGCAATAAAGTCATTGAGAGAGTACAAATCAGCAGTCTTCTTGACTTTCAGGTGAAAGAACAGTCTTTGAACAAAGATTACACCTTCTACAAATCCAACTTTGTATACATTTACGTACATTTGCATTTGTGCAATTAACACGGAGAGACTCTTACTTCAGTTCATAGCTTTCAGAAGGCTTTTTTTGTCTGTCATCTTCTTTCGATTCTTAAACATCAAAAACAGACTCTGTAAAGCACTGCTACAATCCTAAAACGTCCTACATAAGTCCATTGTCCTGTCATCCAGGATTTTTAAACAATGCACTTGAAACACAACTTTATTGGCCAAATAGGCTATTATGTGAGAAATTACAATCTATTCTACAAATACTTCCTTTGTGTCTTCTTTTTTCCATATGAAGATGTATTGCAATCTTTCATAGAACAACCTCAATGAGCTATACCTGCAAATACACAGCAAATTCCCTGTGAGTATGTTAGCAGTGCTAACAAGAAGGACATTATCCACTAATATACTTTTTAAAAATAATTTTATTGAATGCTGAAATTTTATTGCTGTTGATATTTTGCTGTCATCATTAAATGTCTGTAGTCCAAATTGATCCATGTTCCAAATCAGTCACTGTCTATCTCCATGATGATTAGACTGTTAATTACCTAGCATATAAAATCATTTGCTCCATAGTGCCAGACTCTTGCATATGGTAGGAATTTGAAGTACGGGTTATTCAAAGCATCTGTGTAATATTGGTGAAGTCCTAAAAAGCTAATAAATCCTCACCATAGGGATCCATTGTTTTTAAGCTGGTGTCACTGCATGTGTAAGATCTCGCTGAGCTTCCATCATGTTCTGAAGAGCAACACACCTTCTAATTTTACAATCAACAGGATGTCCCCGGAATCTGAGGCACATACTATATTCTAGTTCCGATTTTTTAAATTGTTTTAATATACATATAAATCCGGAAATGTTTTATCTCTACAGAAAAACTTTTAAAAAGTAAGGCTTTATTAACCTGAAAATCAGTACAAAAATCATACAAAACAAAAAACCAACCCTCAAAACAAAACACCACTGTGGCCTAAAATTGTTGCTAACTGTAGTTTGTGTCTATGCTAATGTGCCCATCTAAGGCCATTGCTCATTGTAGAAGCATCTTTAGTAAGGCAAACAGGTTGTGCTGCAATGTAAACTGTATGCTACTGCTATGTTGAATACAGCTGGGTAGTGATCCATTTGGTCACTTTCCTACTGTGCATGTTTTAACATGGCATAGCAGCCCTTTAAAAAATAAAAGCCCTTATGAATTAAAAGTCGGAGATATGTAAATACCAGAGTGCTTCTATAGCTCTAAAAGAAAACAACTAAAAAACAAGTCAGTCCAGGTTTTCACAAATCAGCATAGCAAAAGATACTCTAGATACTTCTAGAGAGATACTCTAGAAGCATTGTGGTGATGGTCCAATGCACTACATCTGTAAACCACTGCACCACTGCATCTGTGAGCTGTCAGGCTTAGGAATATTGACCTCTGTGGAGCTGTAGAGGTCAGAAAGAAGGGGCTGCAGCAGCGGGATACACAGTAGAGAGGCAACCTCTTGACAGAGGAGAGGGAATGGGAACAAGATTGGTGCTGTATAAGTTGGGGCAGTACTAACAGTTCAGGAGCCAGAACTGACAGTAAAGGTTTTGGGAGCGTTTGCACACTGTTCGATCAGTCCAACTGGTAGCTGATTTGATGTTAATGATGTCTCAGAGCTACGCCACCAGCAGAGCTTAGGAAATATCATTTGAGGGGAAATACCAGTCATTTCACTTGCACAGGAAGACTCAAAATAGTCATTGAAGCTAAATGGTATGATGTGTGGCTATAAAAGGTAAAATAGACACTAAAACATTAACAAAATAGTCTCTCATACAGAGAAGAAACCACCCTTCTTAGGCAATCTTCCAGCAGAAGAGACCATCCCAGACTGAACTGAGTAGCAGTTCTTTATGAGAAGGGCACTACCCAAAAGCATCTTATTCTTGTCAGTTCCTTTAGAGCAGCGGTTCTCAACCTTTCCAGACTATTGTACCCCTTTCAGGAGTCTGATGCCTGAGGCCTGCTGCCTGGGGCTCAAGCCTGAGCGCCGCTAAACATGTAACTTAGCTTTCTGGGGTGCCCTGTGGCGTGGGGCCCCAGGCAATTGCCCTGCTTGCCACCCCCTAACACCCACCCTGCACTTGCAACCCTCCTAATCCATGCCCCCCAGGTTGTGAAACACTGATCTAGATGAGTTGAGATACCTCCTGGAAGACCTCTGTGTATCCCCAGGGGTACACGTACCCCTGGTTGAGACCCATTGCTTTAGAGGTTTCACTGTATAGATAGTCTGCTTTTGAGGAAACTGATATTTTGTCAGTGTGTCTTTTAAAAAGTGTGCACACAAAAGTGCATGTGTCCCAGGTAGTATTGTGCATATGTCACAGAATGCACTTCTGAATGCAAGGTTCAATGTGTGCATGATTACCTTTATGCATCCACAACTCGGGCATACAACCGTCTGAATGCACACTTTCAAAATGATGTGCCTAAAGGATTTAGACAAGGTGTGTTTTCTTGATTAATACATGGAACAAAATATTGTTTTCACAGAGCTGTGTAATTCCAGAACATTAAAAATAAAATCATCCCCATCCCCCCCAAATTATTACTTGTTTGGCTTCCACTTTGTGCCAGTATCGTATCTAGAGAGAGAGCTGAAATTAACATGGTTACAAACAAAACACTCTGTGCAATTTGACTGGACACTTTATAAAGCTATACAACTGGATGGATTCCACTGTGATACTAGATGCTACACACATCTTGAACCACTGCAGAAAAAAAGTGCAGTAACATAAGAAGATGTGATTAAAATTCCATATCTAGGATATTGCTCTCCTATAAGTAAAAAAGAAAAGAAAAGATTGTTTCCTCATAGACCTGTTAGCAAGTGAACAGCTTATTTTACCAAGGGAAAAGGGATAATAAATTGTATAAACGTAATGTTCACCACTTTATCGTTGCTAAAAATGGGGGCAGGGAAAGGGAAAGCTTTCAGTGCTGCTACCTGGCTTTTCAACATCTTGAGAGCTTACTTTGTCAAATCATCAGACTGCATTTTATATCAAACCATTTCACAGTAAAACACGCCGAACGAAAGCACGGAACATCTGGATTTGTTAGCGGGACAGGGGTTAAACCCTCTCTGACTGAATGTGTTTTATTTCTGTGATTTGGTAAATCACAGGATAAATCCAATCCTAAGTGATTGGAAAGCGATTTCTCATCTCACCTATCGCATACGCCCTAACAACATGGATGACCATTGGCAACAAGCCCTGTACAGCATTGGCGCTGTGGAAATCCTCAAGCGCAGTAAGATCAAGCTGTCCATCAGTTTAGACAGGGCGAATGCTGCACCAGATGCTTTTGTGCTGGCTGTGTTCTGTACGTCAGCTCACAGTCATTATGAGTTCCATGCCAAATTTAAAACAAACGTGTGTTTTTTTTAAAAAATGAACCCTTAAAAGAGAGAAAAAAAATATCACATCCCTGAATAAGAAGTACTGGAGAAAAGGCTGGCAAGATGTAGGTAGAAGCAGAGGAGTAATCCAAAAGGTTTTGGTGTATGAAACCTTGGATGGGCTTTCACACGAGTTCTTCAAAAAGAGGCAAATGACTCACTTGGACTTTCCTACAGTGATGAAGAACCTTCAGTCTTCAGCAAAACTAAACGTGAAATCCAGCCCCCCCCCCCCCCCGCCCATTAAAGCCACTGAGTTTTGCCACTGGCTCAGAATTTCACCCTATGTTGCCTGCCAAACGTGCCCGACAAGCACAAAGGCTTTAATAAATGTGCTCTTATCACACTGGACAAGGACATCTAAGAAAATCTGAGCCTGTTGGGACGTTTGTTTTGTTTTATTGTTAAGTCTCCAATTCTGATCTCACTTATACCAGTTTTCTACTGGCTTCGCTCCACTGACTACAATGGACATACTCAGATTGACGCTGGTATGAGAGCGAGATCAGAACAGTCACCATTAGAACTCATGTTACCTGCCAAACACTGAGCCGCCTCTTCTAAAAGCCCTGCTTTCACAAGCCCAATAGAAAGCTGGACTATTTTTCCACTGGGGCTAAAAGAGGGGCTTGAAAGGAAGAACACTAAAGCAGCTCTGTCTAATAGCAACTTCTTTTGGAAACAGCAGAATTTGCTCTTATGCTAATGCCCGGCACAGCTCTAACACTGATCTGAAGTTCCCAAACACTGAGACATGGGCCAGATCCTCAGCAGGCATAATGCCATTGATGTCAAAGGTAACTTATGTCAGCTGTTGATCTGGCCCCAGGGGGGTTGTTTTTATTGTGCATTCCCTACCCTCTGCTTTCGTTGAATTAAGGAAACTGAAAATATAAATCCTTTGCTGTGATCATGATCAAATGTCAAGCACTATGCTTGTGATTTCCCTCTCATGGCTCTGTTGATGCCTGCAGGACTAAAAAGGCTTTATGGCAAGGCAATATGGGATGATTCTGTGGTTATGACTGTAGGAGTGTTGCCTAAGTAAGACTGCAGGGTTTCAGTTATAAGATCCCTCACTCAGACTTGAGCTGAATAATGATCTCCAGGATGACAGGTTAAACTAAGGATTCATCGCCCTCTTGCAATCTCCCCTCTCCTAGCGTCTAAGGTGCAGTATGAAATCAGAAGAAGGGGTAGGAATCACTTAAAATGAAACATTCCTTATAGCTTGCTGCCCAGAAAGCCCGGGCTGATGAGGGTCCCACTGAGGCATAACATAGCCCCTCTCAGTCTGGCTCTCTGTACTAGACAGTCCCTAGTTTGTGAATCAAAACCAGTACTTTATTTTCCAGTCCTTAAAAAAAAAATCTAAACACACATATTCACTAAGAAATTGCAGCTATTCCAACACCTGCAATTTCAAGTTTACTAAAAGCTGTTGACTTAATGGTGGAGGGGGGGAAAATGCAGTTTGGAGATCTCTAGAATGCTTCTTTCCAAAGCCCCATGGGCTATTTTAACCAAACGAGCTGATATCTGGCTACAGTAGTTACATAGAATTTCAAGATTTAAAAAAAAAATTGCTCAGGATACCTGATGAAATTTTGGCAAGGCTGCTTTTGTCTCCTATTGCTGATAGGACGAGAACATTGATTTGCTTTTATGCCTAAATACAGTATAACCCAAGTATTAAACCTAGGAGATTTTACTACTCACTGTTCTTAAGTCACATCCCCAAACCCTGACGCAAACAATATTCTTTAATTGTTTTCTATTTGCTCAATGTCTAATTCACCATCTAGTGGAAAGACATTCCGCCCCCCTGTTCCACTACTGTTCCATGAAGCCCTTTCATCTTCTTTTCTATTGCTCTCATCTTCCGTGGCACAATAGTCTGACTCTTCCCAAGAGAGGTCGTCTTTGCTAACGCTACATTCTTCTGCGTTTGAGTGTGGCTCTGGCACGGGGGTGCAGGCTGGTGTCCTGCCTGGCATGACATCAGAGGAGGAAGGAGATGCTGTCCATGACTTGGGGCTGTTGATACCAGGGCAGAACTGATTCTGCTGAGCGCAGTCGTCCACTGTGGTGCTAAGGCAGCTAAGGCTGTTAAAGGTTTGACGATTCTGCAGAGGGAACAGAAAACAGGCACATGAAACAATGGCATTCAGTTTGCACAAACAAGGTCAGAGAATCAGCTGAATTTAGAGAGAGGGGAAAATGTGCTACTTCACTTAAGACATCTCCATGCGAGAGCAAAATTGGTCCTTATTGTACACTTACCGGTGTTCTCCCCTTCCTTCCCCCTCCCCCGCACTCCACCATGGACATTTCATGACATAGATATTTTCTAAGGAATATCCCGGGGAGAAAATACCCCAGGTACTAAAGGGCTCTTTAAACTAGCAGAGAAAGGCATAACAAGAACCAGTGGCTGTAAGATAAAGCCAGGCAAATTCATAATAAAAATAAGGCCCAATTTTTTCATAGAGATAAATTAATATTGGACCAAGCTACGAAAGAAGTGGTGGATGCGCCATCTCTTTTTGTCTTCAAATCGAAACAGGATGCCTTGCTGAAAGATATGCTTTAGGCAAACTTATTGGGTTTGGGCTGCATACAGGAGTAAACAGATGGAATTCTAAGGCTTGTGTTATCCAGGAAGTCAGACTAGATGATCTAAAATTCCCTTCTGGCCTCAGAGATCTATAAGTGAATTCCAACAGCATTCAAAATGATTAATTGAAATGTTCATCTTTAGAGTCTTCAGAAGCCAGTGCGGAGAATGCTGTTCAAGTCTCTCAAAAGATAATAATTACACTTAGTAAACCCTTTGTGAAAAAGAAAAATCCCATCAGCAAACCGATCGAGCAGACAACCTGTCTCTCTGAAGCCCTCGAAGACGTAATATGTTACTTTCCCCAAATCTGCCAGTAAGAATTAGGTATTCTCATCAGCAGCAATTTACATGCTGAAAATCCAGGCGTACTGTTAGTTCCCTTTGCAGTAGTTCTTGCATTTCTTCCACCTTCTGTAATGTCTGCTGGATGCAAATGTACCCACTTAGTTTTGGATATATTACACATTACCCCAGCCTGGCTGCTTTAGGACCTTGAGATCTGAGAACTCATTCAGCCCAGATCCATCCAATTGTAACTAAATGAATTTATTTTTTTAAAAGCCATTTACTGCCATTTGATGGGACATTTTGGACAAGCTGATATAACTGAAATATCATGCATAAAAGGATCACAGCTACTGAGCAAGGAGACTTCTCCCTTTCCTAGGAGCGCTTGCAGTATTGCTCCAAAATACGTCTTTCTCATTACAAATTGTTTAAATCTATGGCCAGATTGAGGAAAGCCTTTAAGCTTGTAGTCTCTGCAGGCTGCACCTCTGTAGTAGAGAATGGAGAACCGGCTCCATTTTATATGGATTAGGACCCTAATTTTAAGCATGTGCTTAAGACCCATTGATGTCTTTAGGACTTAAGCATGTGCTTAAGCATGTGCTTAAGTGCTTTTCTGAATTGGGGCCTTTGTGGTTATGCTACAGTGATGAGCACTGTATCTCAGTACCATGCCCGTTTATTAAGGGGAACACAAGATCTCTGTATCGCTCATCTCTGCATGAAACAGGCTTTGTGGTTGGTTGTAGTTTCTTGAAACTCTTTATTTAGCTCACATACTGTCAGATCAAAATGATTTCAAAACACTGACAATGATGAGATCTTTGCCGGCATTTAGAATTGCTCATGTTAAGTTACGGTATGTATGACATGACAGTTCTCGTCCCTGGAGATACTGCTGACTGCACATGCATACATATTTGTAGTGACACTTTTTAAAAGAAACAAACAAAATTCTAATCACTTATCTTAATTAAAATAAATTGCCACTCTCCTGATGTTCACTATGTAAGCAAAGCACGTACTGCAACAAGGAATACCCAGGGACCAGTGCAATTTGCAGTAGAACAGGAAATCCCTGATCTGAATTTTCCAGTGGTTTGTGAAAAGAGGCAAAAAGAACTGAAGAGGGAGAGACCAGAAAGACAGATGGACAGAGGCAATGCAAAGGTGCAAAACCTAGGGAAAGGGATGGAAGTCTCACAAAAACAAAGACCTGTGGAAATCTAACATTAGCTGATGATAAGAAACGAAAGCAAATACCTTTTGAGTTAAACAAGGACTTTAAGAAAGCACAAAGATAACTTTAAGAAGTCAAGTGACCACTGAAAATATTACAGGAAATAATGTCGCTCCCCTCAGACTGACAAAATGTCCTTGCACCTGCTAACACTGAAAGGTAGCCTATTATTAATGATTAGTTTCTGGTAATTCCATCTGTGCCCCATGAATCTAAAAATCCTTGGCATCTACAGTGCCAGTTAAAGCAATGCATGGATATCCAGCGGTTTGTGCACACTTCTCCCAAAACGAAAGCCAACCATGTGATGCTATAATGTAAGCATTAACTCATTTCACAGAAATCTGGTCTGGCCATATCCTGTCTAAGCTCTCTAGCTACATATTTCTATACACTCAGCACTGTATCTGAGTGCTGTATCAGAGCTATAGGCAGATAAGGGTGGTTAACATGTTTAGTTCATGTTGATATATCCTCATGTAGAACCATGATTATTTTAATTCAAGGCTAGGGTTATAATTAGCTTTCAGAACAGATCAATGTTATACTACAAGCATGCGCTGCTAATCTGCTCACTGTATTTTGGAATGCTGGTGTGAAAAATCCCCATTCTATTAGGAGTATCACACAAACCACACTGCTGGTCAGATGATAATACTCAGCATGAATTTGACACAAGAATATCCAATCACATTTCTGAGTCACCTCCAGATGTACAGTTTGGGCTCACTGGTAATGATGGTGCACCATGGTGGACTGCAAAACCTACATGGCGTTTCAAAAGAGCACAGTTCACAGTCTGGTCCCTTTTCGGTTACACTTCCTGAGTGTGATTTAGAAAGTGGGAGGGGCTGCCCACGGACGAATGGATCAATTGCCCTGGGAAATGCACTGATTCAGCACATCTCACAGGCAGGCTTTAATGGCAGGGTGGATGATCAAGGTACTAAACGGGCACTCAAGTATATAGGTGCTGGAACTAGGTGTGCTGGGGGTGCAGCAGCAGTTTCCATCATATACAGGGTTTACAGTTTGGTTCAATGGCTCTCAGCACCCCCACTCTACAAATTGTTCAGGCACCCATGCTGAAGGAAGACAAGGCCATTGCAGAGAAGCTAAATGAATTCTTTGTGTCAGTCTTCACTGCAGAGGATGTGAGGGAGACTCCCACACCTGAGCCATTCTTTTTAGGTGACAAATCAGAGGAATTCTCCCAGATTGAGGTGTTAGTAGAGGAGGTTTTGAACAAATTAATAAATTAAACAGTAATGCGTTTCCAGGACATAAGAACAGCCATATTGGGTCACGCCAAAGGTCCATCTAACTCAGTATCCTGTCTTCCAACAGTGGCCAATCCCAGGTGCCCCAGAGGGGATGAACAGAACAGGTTATCATCAAGCGATCCATCGCGTCGCCCATTCCCAGCTTCTGGCAAACAGAGGCTAGGGACACCATCCCTGCCCATCCTGGCTAACAGCCATTGATGGACCTATCCCATGAATGTATCTAGTTCTTTTTTGGACCCTATTATAGTCTTGCCCAGAGGGTATTCACCCAACAGTTCTGAAGGAACTCAAATACAAAATTGCAGAACTACTAACTGTGGTATGTAACCTATCACTTAAATCAGCCTCTGTACCAAATGACTGGAGGACATTTTAAAAAGGCTCCAGCGGTGATTCTGGCACTTTCAGGCTGGTGAGCCTGACTTCAGTACCAGGCAAACTGGTTGACACTATAGTAAAGAATAGAATTCTCAGACACACAGCTGAACACAGTATGTTGGGGAAGAGTCAACAAGGCTTTTTTAAAGGGAAATCACGTCTCACCAGTCTATTAAAATTCTTTGAGGGGGTCAACAAGCATGTGGACGAGAGTGAGCCAGTCAATATAGTAAACTTGGACTTTCAGAAAGCCTTTGAAAAGTTCCTCACCAAAGGCTCTTAAGCAAATAAGAAGCCATGGGATAAGAGGTAAGGTCCTCCCATGGATCAGTAATTCGTTAAAAGATGGGAAACAAAGGGAAGGAAAAATTGGTCAGTTTTCACAATGGAAAGCAGTAAATAGCGGGGTCCCCCGAGGATCTGTACTGGGACCAATGCTGTTCAACATATTCAGCTCCCAGTGGCCGCAGTTCGCCGTTCCCGGCCAATGGGAGCTGCGGGAAGTAGCGGCCAGGCCTGCGCTGCTTCCTGCAGCTCCCATTGGCTGGGAACAGCGAACCGCAGCCACTGGGAGCTGCAGGCGGCCGTGCAAATGTAAACAAACGGTCTGGTAGCCCGCCAACAGATTACCCTGATGGGCCGCATGCGGCCTACAGGCCGCAGGTTGCCCAACAGTGGTCTAAGCGAAATTGAGTGACTTAGATGACCCCCATGCATACATGTGTGAATGTAATAGATGGGCTGTTTCCTATGCAATTTACATGGTGTAATAAACTCATTGCATCCATAGAGAGGATATCAAGACTTATATTGCCATAAACAAACTTTCCGAAAGAGGACACCAAAGACCACACAGCCATTTTACATGGCCACATCTATTTTTTTTAATGACACATTCTGGCAATGTGGTGTGCACACACTATCTGAGCAGTGCTAGATGCAGTGGTTTGAAAGGGTGAGTAGAAGTGATGTGCCTGTCCCTGGGGGAGACGATGGGACCATACTGCTATCTTCCCCTCCCAGGATTACTGATATCCATGATTCATAAAAATAATGCTGAGAAACATCTTTTCCCTTTTATTGCTTTAGAATGCACCAGCTGCTAGGTTTCCGGGGTGGGGGGGGCGAGGGGAGACTACCCTTCAATTTGCTACTGAGGCCCTATTCCCCCCGCATCCAGCAAAACATGAATTATTCTGGCTAGAAACACCATTTAGCTCAGACTTGATTTTAAGCAAATGTTGCTCTCAGACCAAAACAGCAGGAGCTCATTAAATTTCGGCAGACATGTGCCCCCCACTCCTCCCCCGTAGC